GGGGGCAGGGATGGCAGTTCCCACGCCTGCAGACCCGCTGCTGCCTGCAGATCCCAGCTGGGAGCACACAGAAGATGTGTTTGCTCCTTCCTGGAGGAAGCCCAGCCCCAGGGGTGTCACTTAGGCTGGGGAGGGGAGAAATGCTCCCAGGAATCCCACAGGAATGCATCCCCCCCACACTTAACTCTGCAGGGACTCCTGGGCAGCACCCAGGGGATGTGGAGACCAAGAAAACTCCTGGCTTAGGAAGGCATCCTCCAACTGCAGCGTGCCAGGTGCTGCTGGGAGGGCACGGGGTCTGGGATTGAACTGATTGAGGATAATTTATCGTGCCTTTTTGACGTAAAGCTCGTGTTCCTCCCAGAGAGATGCCTGCATCTGCACACACAGGGGATAGGCTGGCTCGAGACCTCCGTGTTCCATGGGTAATTCCACGCTGTTGTACACCCAGTGCGCCTCAGCCTTCTGCCTGGCGTGGCACAAACATTCATTTCTGTGTTATGCATCTCCCTAATGTGATATAAAAAGCTAAATGCATTACCAGCTGCAGCACAGAACATGATTATTTTTTCCCCCTTGCTTATTCTGCAGCGAGCAATTTTTTGTACCGTTAATAAGTCTTACAGGGGTTTTGAGTTTGTTTTTTTTTTCCCTTCTCGCTCTGCTCCAAATGATCCTCATCCTGGGAGGGTTTCCTAGGGAGGCTGGAGCCAGTTACATGCTCTGCACAAGAGCTGCTTCTCAGTGGTTCTTTCTGAGAATGCACTAAAGGAAAAGCTTCGAGTTAAAGCAGTTTAGACGTGGATTTGACTTGCAGCCCTCGGGAGTCAGTGGGGTTTAAATGACAGCACTGGCTGCAATAGTGCCCAGCCCTGGGTATCTCCATCCCTCCAGTGGGGAGCAACAAATGGGTTTCAGCTCCCGGTTTCAGAGGATCCAAAAAGGACCAAAGTAAGGAGGAAGATCCAGTGTCACAAGAAAATAGGGTTTATTTTCACAGAGAAGAGGGGCTGAAGCACTCCCCAAGCACTGCCCCTTCCTGCTGCTTGGTCTTGGTGAGGCTGCTTTGACGCAGCAGTTTCAGCCCCATCCCCACCCCTGGGGGCTGAATGACTTTCCAGCTGCCCCATAGAAAGCTGAGGGGCCCCAGAAGGAGTGACCAGAGACACCCTGGGGCAAAACCCCATGCGGGCCGTTCACTGAAGAGCTGGACTCGATGATCCTTGTGGGTCCCCTCCCATCTCAGTACTCTGGGATTCTGAAAGGGCACCGAGAATGGCCAAATGTGCCCCGGGGAGGAGTCAGGGGCGCTCGTGTTTCAGTAGGTGGCACTCCTTCCTCTGCTTCGGGGCCGGTGTGGATTTTGGGGACGTGGAATAGCAGGTGGCATCCCACGGATGAGGCACTCGGGGATGAATGCAACTGGAGTTGTTCACAGCGTGCTTTTTGCAGGAGTTCAGCTCCTGTGTGTGCTGCTTTCCTCTACCTCTCCCTGTGGTTTTGGTCCTTCCTCCCTCTCGCTGTGAAGGTGCTGCTGGGAGTGTGTGTGTAGGGAAGGCACTGGGTAATCCAGCAGGGAAATCCATCACAAAATCCAGGTGGTTCCACTCCCTGCCACAGGCTGATCTGCTCCTGCAGATGTTTGTGGGGAAAGAATGGAGAGGATTGGGCAGGGGAAGAAAAAACAAAAGTGCTTCCAGGAGGAGGGCAGTGCTTATGTATGTGGTCAGTGATGCATCTCCAGCTTCTCCATCCACGCTGTCCTGGCTGGCTGCAGCAAGGTGACATTTGCTGGTCAGTGATCCCACTGCCTGCCTGAGCTTGGCCTCGGCAATCCAGGGAAGTGTCGGCGGAATAGGGGGTGTTCAGCTGTGGCTTTAGCTCGGAAGACAGCAGCTGAGTGGGTGAGTTTGGTGACAGATGATCCCTGGAAGGTTTAGAAGCAAAAGCTATTAAAACCTCGGGGCTGTGCAGAGAGGAAATCTTGAGAGTTCCTCAGAGCCCGCTTGGAGAGAGGGAACATCCCTGTTCCCTGTGGTTCCCACCATCCAGCCCCGCTGTGCTGCATTTTGGGGCAGAGAGGACGCAGCCTGCAGATGCTCTTTTTTTGTGCTTCCTGCTTCCTTGACATCCAGGCACAGTGCAGGGATCACTCAAAGCCTTTGGGACGTCCGTAGCCAAAGGCTCCCTCAGCAAACCCAGCAGCTTCAGCCCGTCCTCCCAAATCCAAGCCAGTTGGTGCATTCCTGCCATTCTTCTCCCTAAAGCTGTTTCTTTCCATTCCCTGGCTCAAGAAGACAAAGCAGCTGCTCTGAGAGGCTGAATTTATTTTTTTTTATTATTATTTTTTTTTTTTATTGGGAGCTTTAAGTTGAAAGGAATGGGATTTATTTTTTGTTGGAGTGAGGCGGTACCCTGGGGTCGCTGAGATTACACACCAGCCGGTGCCAGGATCTGCACTCACCCCATGGATTCTTTGGGAGAGCAGGGAATAGCCCAAAATAGGCAACTGCTGGCTGCCTTCCCGTGGCACAACTCGGCTGTCGGGTCGTGAAGCCCTTTGGGCTGCTCTGGCCTCCTCCTTAAATTAGGGAAGACCGGCCTTAGACTTGATACCTGCGGGTTACAGTCCCAAACCTAAAACTGAGCCATCAAAATCTCTCTTCAGACCTCAAGGGTCTCACGAAAATCCCCTTCCCACCTGTAAATGAATGCATTCTCTACCTATACTCAGCTAAATTCCTTGGCAGCTTTACTGCCCATAATTTCTCATGGTTTTCTCCGGGCCCTCTCTGATCGTGGTGCTGTTGTCCCAGTCCCAGGCTGGACACCTCGAATAGAAACCAAGCAATGTGACTTTACTGCTTGTCACTGAGAAATTCTGCACCAGTTTCCCCCAGGGCCGGGATTCTTTTGAAGCCTGGTGGGCTTCAGTTAACTGTATCTCTGTCTGCCTCGTCCAGACATCGGGATCACTTCTGCAGGGAGGGGAACAATAAAATGGAAAGCATGCCGGCTGAACGCTATTAAAATATTTTATTTATCACCCGTTCCTAGTTTGTAGGCAGCAGGAATGCATCTATTTAATGCTGGTCTTCTTTAAAATGGAAATGTTCCGAGGATGTTTGGTGCTTTTGTTCCCGGCGAGTCGTGTGAGGCCGGAGCGGAGGGAACAGGCAGTAAAAAACACCGTCTGAACTTCAATCTGAGAGAACAACTGGGGGACTTTGCTGTGTGCCTGGCTCACATGTATCAGGGGGACTGACAACGGAGGCTTTTTGCATAACTCATTTCCCCCCCCCCCCCCTTTTCTGGAAAAAAAAAACACCACAGGAGGGATCAAATACATGAAGCTCCTGCAAAGCCTCACGCCTGTGAGCAGAGGCCAGGCCCTTTCCAGCACCAGCGTGGAGCAGGAAGCAGTTGTAACTCCTTTTTTTTTTTTTTTTTTTTGGTTTGATTTATTTTATAAAGACCATCTGTAGGTTGAAAGCTGGAGCTCTGGACTCAGGCGAGCGCCAGTATGTTACAGTACCAAAAAAAAAATTAACAGGGAAACCCAAAAGAGCTCAATCCCATAAACACGGTCTGGATGTCTGGCATTCCCGGCTAATGCCCGCAGGGCAGGTCTACATACAAACACGTGGGTACCCCCCCCCCCCAAAAAAAAAAAAAAAAGATCGGTATCCCTGGCTGCATCCTCCTCCTCCCCAAATCCAGCTCCCCGAGAGGGAATGGAAGCAGCTGTTTGTGCCGCCCTGAAAACATCTGAGCACGACCCTGTACCGGTGCCCCGGCGCTGCAGCAGCTCTTGCTGGGTGTCGGTGCTCCAGCTGGAGCTTTTATCGCCGAGTCCTCCGGACTGGACAGTTTTATCAGGAAGCCCCAAAGCAGCCCACATCGCCCCCTTTCTTTCCCTGGGGGGCCAATCCTGGGAGTCAATCCTGGCTGTCACGGTGCGAGTGGCTTGGCAGACGCGGGCACGGGGGAAGGAACCAGAACCATTTGGCGCCGAGGGCTCGGCTGATGCGGCTCATTTCGTCTGTTATGTTTGTGCTGCGGCCCCGCGGACTGTATCGCATAGGTAGAGCCGGCGTGCAGCGGCACTCAGGGAATCCGAGTGTACGAGGGAAAATCCCGCACTCCGGGAAAATCCGATCGCGTTTGGTAGGGCTTTCATGTGGGTAGTTTCTGGGCTACACGGAAAATTCCCAGATTTTAAGTTACGGGGTTTTTTTTTAGTGCTCAGAAACCCATCTGCCCTGCCTCCAGGCTTTTCCAGTGCAGACATACTTGACCGATATTCACACGAAAATCTGGGTTTTTGGAGCCCGAAGCTTGCTGAGACTGAGGAGGAGCCATGCCAGGCTCCGGATCGTGCTTCCACTCAGAGCAGGCGACGAAAATGGGCTATTTAAAAACAAAGTAGAGGGGAGATAAGCCGGGCGAATTCCTTAGGGAAAAGCGGCACCTTGAGCGGAGCAGAGGATGGAGGGAGGGCAGGGGGGACACGCCGGCAGCGGGACGGGCGGGCAGGACCGCGCAGCTCGGACCTGATGGCCTCCCCCTGCGGGAGGACGGGCGGGGAGCTGCTCCCGGCCGGCCCCCTCCCTCCATCCCCCCTCCCTCCATCCCTCCTCCCCTCCTCCCCGCCCGCAGCCCCCGCCGGGCCACCCCGCGGGGCGTGGGCGGCGCGGGGAGCGGCGGGGCCGGGCGGGAGCGAGCGGGGAGAGCATGTGCATCCTCCCCGCCGCCCCTGCCTCCCTCCCGCCTCCCCTCCCTCCTTCCCTCCCTCCCTCCTTCCCGCCGCGGGTGTGTGTGTGTGTGTGTGTGTCTCGGCTCCCTCGCCAGCCCAGCCTGACGCAGGCGGATCGCGACCGGCCCTGCCAACAGCCCGGCTCCCAGCGCCGTGCCGGGGGTCCGGCTGCGCCGGGGCCCCGCCGGGCCGGCCCGAGGGGGCGGCGGGGGCCGGCTTGGCCCGACAGCGGCAGGGCGGCCCGGCGAGGGGGAAAGTTGCCGGGAGCGGCGAGGGGCGAGCGCGGCGGCAGGACCATGGGCACTTTGCGGGATTTACAGTACGCGCTGCAGGAGAAGATCGAGGAGCTGCGGCAGCGGGATGCGCTCATCGACGAGCTGGAGCTGGAGTTGGACCAGAAGGACGAACTGATCCAGAAGCTGCAGAACGAGCTGGACAAGTACCGCTCGGTGATCCGGCCCGCCACGCAGCAGGCGCAGCAGCAGAGCGCTGGCACCTTGCAGGGCGAGCAGCGGACCAAGCGCCAGGCGATCTCGGCCGAGCCCACCGCCTTCGACATCCAGGATCTGAGCCACGTCACCCTCCCTTTCTACCCCAAGAGCCCGCAGTAAGCAAGGGGGTCACCCATGGGCGCCCTCAGCCCCCCGCCACCCCTCTGCCCTCGCTGCCGCCTCTCTCCCTCCGTTCCCCTGCATCCCTTTCCATCCCCCGGCCGCGCCGCCGCCCGCCGGGCAGGCACCGGGGCTGGGGGTGCGGAGCGGCCCCGCATCTTCCCCGACTGGTCCCGCGGGCTGGGAAAGTTGCGAGCGCCAGGTTTGCGGGGGGATGTGCGGCAGGAGCGAGCGCCGAGGTGCGCGGAGAGGGGGACCCTCGTTCCCCGTCTCTGCTCCGGGGGGACCCGGCCGCTCCCATCCCGCCAGGGGAGCGGGACACGGCGGCGGGCATTGGGAGTTGCTGCTGCCGACGGGTCGGAGCGGGTCGCGGGCTCGGGGGACTTTATTGATGCAGGAGGGGACAGGACAGAGCCGGGGGGTCGCTCCGGGGTCCCGCAGGGAGACAGTCCCATCGGGGTTGCGGTGCCGGCTCTCCGGTATCCTCCCCTGCCCAGGGGGTGCTGGTGTTTTGGGGAGGGGGCTTTGGCAGCGGCAGCGGTTCATTGCGGTGTCCTGGTCCTGTGGAGGGTGTGCGGCGGGGGCTGGGAAAACTGCGGGGATCCTCTGCTCCCCGCGCGCGGGGGGATGCGCTGCCCTGGTTGCACACCGGTCCTGGTTGCACACCGGTCCTGGTTGCACACCGGTCCTGGTTGCACACCCGCCCTGGTTGCACACCGGTCGTGGTTGCACACCCGCCCCGGTTGATTGCACACCTGCCCTGGTTGATTGCACACCTGCCCCGGTTGATTGCACACCTGCCCCCATTGCACACCTGCCCTGGTTGATTGCACACCTGCCCTGGTTGATTGCACACCTGCCCTGGTTGATTGCACACCTGCCCCGGTTGATTGCACACCTGCCCCCGTTGCACACCTGCCGCTCATTAGGGTAATGAGAGCGGTTTAACGGCAATAACGGGCTCCTCTCGCGCTCCCCGCGCGCCCAGCGTTCTGAGGGCCGGCCAGGCGCCATGCCGCGGGCTCGGCGCTCCTCAGGGCACGGGAAAAGAGGAGGACGGAGGTGACGAGCGGGTGCTGGCAGCGCCGGGCTTCGTGTGAGGGCACGGCACGACCTCCCCGCCCGTGGGCGAGCCCCGCTGCCCTCCGAGGCCGGCGTGTCCCTCATGGAATTGTTAACCAGGAGCGCTGGAGGATCCCTGGAACCGTCTCGGCGGTCGGGTGCGTGTGTGCCGGGTGTGCTTGGGGAGGGGGTGTGGGCACATGGCACATGGCTGAGCTCGGGGTGCGGGCCGTCTTCACCTTCGAGACCCCGAGCGGGGCCGGGACGGTGTCCCGGTTGGGATGTAGGACAGGGCCGGTGTCCCGGTTGGGGACGGTAGCGCAAGGCCGGTGTCCCGGTGGTGTCCCGGTTGAGATGTGGGACAGGACCAGTGTCCCTGTTGGGGTTGGGGCTCAGGGCTGGTGTCCCGGTGGTGTCCCGGTTGGGATGCGGGGCAGGGCCGGTGTCCCGGTTGGGGTTGGGGCGCAGGGCCGGTGTCCCGGTTGGGGTTGGGGCGCAGGGCCGGTGTCCCGGTTGGGATGTGGGACAGGGCCGGTGTCCCGGTGGTGTCCCGGTTGGGATGTGGGACAGGGCCCGTGTCCCGGTGGTGTCCCGGTTGGGATGTGGGACAGGGCCCGTGTCCCGGCCGGGGTGCCGCTGTCTCCCCTGTGCCCGGCTCTCCCCGCTGTCTCCTGGTAAGTGCCCGCCCTCAGGGCGCTCGCCATGGCCGGAGCCCGGGCCGGGCTGTGTGTGCCGGAGCCCGGGCCGGGCTGTGTGTGCCGGAGCCCGGGCCGGGCTGTGTGTGCCGGAGCCCGGGCCGGGCTGTGTGTGCCGGAGCCCGGGCCGGGCTGTGTGTGCCGGAGCCCGGGCCGGGCTGTGTGTGCCGGCGCCGCGGCTGCCGCTCTGTCCCCCTCTCGTTCCCGCTCCCCTTCCCATTCCCGCCGCTCCCTTTCCCATCCCCCCCTCCCCAATTCTCGCTTTCCCCCACTCCCGCTCTCCCCCCCCAATTCCTATTCCCTCCCCCCCACTCCCATTCCCGCTGCCGTTTCTCTACAGATATTTTGCCCTTTTAAGGCGACTCGCAGCGGATTTCAAAGGATGTCGGGGGGAAGCGGCAGTGGGATGGAAAATACCCCTTCCCCCAGCCCCCAAAAAACCAATAAAGACCCCCAAAAGTGGACGCCGGGTTCTGTCGGGAGAGGGGGGGGACAGGGTTGTCCCAGCGCGGGCGGCTTTGTGGTTTTTGCAATCCGTGGTGTGCCTGGAAAACATGCCAGGTGGGATATGGCATCCCACCGGCGATACCTCCTCTAGGACAGTGCGTACTGCATCCAAAACCATTTATTTCTCTGTCAGTGTTTGCGCCTTGGTGCCCTCGAGGGGGGAACGCAGCTCCCCAGGGCTCAGCAAAGAGCCACAGGTTTCGGGAGAACGCTCCCGGACCCTCTGCCGTGTACAGTGGAATCCGTAGGGATGCCGGCAAAGGCTTGGAGTAACGTTTTCCAGCTTGGATTGTAATTGTTCCGTGTGTAAACGCCTTACCGCAGTCTGGTGTGGAGTGTAACAACACTCAGCTGAGGGAGCGTTTGATATTGGCCTTCCCTGGTCAGTACTCCTCATGGTATTCACAGTGTTTAACTGGCAGCTGTAGATCGTAATCACTCAGGTGTGGGTGTTTAAGGCAGGTTGGACGGGGCTGGGAGCAGCCTGGGCTAGTAGAAGGTGTGTCCTTGCCCATGGCACAGGTGAAACAAGGTGGGCTTTAAGTTCCTTCCAACCCAAACTGTTCTGTGATTCGATGGATGGCATTGGAAGTGTCAAAGTCAATTTAATTTTATGTGGAAAAAGACCGTTAAATTTCCCGCATGATCTCACCTTGCATGAAAACCCTTCCACTTGAGGCACGTATAGTCTTTAAAAATACCTGTTTCAGAGCTATGAGAGTTTTAGTTGCTATTGCAGGGTTGGGCTTGTGGAGTTTGTGGCTAAGACTCATGGAGGGACACATCCTGCCATTATCTTTCAAGTGACAAGGGTGGGGAGAGAAAACAACCATTGGCATCTTGATCCATCTTCCTGTTCAAGTAACTAAATTTTTTAAAAAATAAGTGGCTTTTTCTCCCCCCCCTCCCCGCCCCCAAAAAAGAAAGGAAATAACTTGCAAGAAGTGTCTGAGTGAGCGGGCACAGACTGTGTGTGGTTTCCCGTGGTAGAAAAATGCCGTGACAAACCCTTATCTCCTCTTCATCTTCTAAAATTGCTGCCCTTGTTTGTTTTTCCACACCTTTGACCTCTCCCAGGGTGTATCCTGGCTGCTAACAGCCTGTCAGCACGGGAGGAATACTGCGAGTTTGTACCAACTGCTATTCCAATTAACATTTTACAGAGCAGCCAACCAAAGAAAAGCCTCTTTAACTACCAAGCTGCAGCTCTTCTCTTTGGTTACGTCGTCCTTGCCATGGGAAAATACCCGGGACGTTGATTTTAACAGGCTGTTTTGTTCAGGGTTTGGTGACAGCTGTTGGCTTTTTTGGAAGGCTGTGTAATCAGTGCGGTTTCTTCTCCAGAAAGGAAAAAAAAAAAGGAATTTAGAAGCAGAACGTAGAGCTGGTGAGCGTGAAGGGCCGGCTCTGTTGGCCGAGGGCGTGTGACAGAGAAAATGCAAAATGCCCTGTCCTTTGTAGGAAATGAGGAATAAGGTGAAAACTCACTTGTTGTGGGGCAGTTAAAACGTAAAGCTGAGGAATCTGCCAAAGCCCCGGGGATTGGTTTGTGAGGGGAGGAGCAGCCTGTGAGTTAAGAGGTCTGGTTTGAGCAGTGTGAAATGGTTGGTTGCATAGCCTTAGGGAAGGTACAACAGACATGCAAGGGATTGAGCAAAATCCCTGTCGTGGCCAAATTGGCTCTTTGAAGGCAAATGTGCTCATCTTCTGTGGGCTACAGGCCTATTTTTAAGTGATCGTAATGATCATAAACTCCCCAGAAATACTCGAGAAACCTTCCTATTTAGAGTAATTGCAGAAAATGATCTGCTGGTATTTATCAATGGTATGTGTTAACTAAGATAATAATTAAGACTCTCAAACTGTAGTTCTGAAGAATACCACCCCAAAACCCAAAAAAAACAAAGCAAAAAAACCCCTCTTCTCTTAAACCCCATGTCCTCCTCTTCCTAAATTAATTTGGAGGGTGGTTGGTACATAATGACACTTGAGATGACTGAGGGACTGAGATACGCTCTGGCAGTGGTGGCTTCCTGCAATGTGGGGCAGGAGCTGGGATGTTGTGGCCTCTTCAGTCCTATCACTTTGTGCTTTTGGGGCAGAAAACAGCTCACCAAAAGCAGCAGCAATGGATGTAGTGGTGCAGCCTTGGGGGTTTTTTTCTGGTATCAAGATGTAATTCCCTGTGATGTGTCCAGTGAACAATTAATTGAAACGCATTTATGATTTATCTGAGGGTTATTAAATGCCGTGGTTGCTTTTATGTGCTGTGTGACCTAATGTTGGATCCATCTGAATGCAGGTTAAGCTAATTCTGGGTGCAGACACTGACGTGCAGTGCTGTCAGCGTGGCTCTCTGGTGTTTTGGGGGTCAGGACTCCCCTGGTGTGTGCCCAGAGGTGCGGGGCAGCATCTCCCTGCTGGTGGGGGATGTGCTGAGGGATGAGGCTTTGCTGGGAAGGATCATCTGCTCCCTGAGCCTGTCTGAACACACAGTGAAGACAGAGCAGCAACAAGCAACATAGACTTCCTGGGATTTCTGCTGCTTTTGGCTACTGGTTTTAGTGGTATACTGTCAAAAACCTGTGTTTTAAAGCAGAGGAGTCCTGTTCAGAACCCGCATTGGCATTTTCACGGTGGTTATATGCAAAACAAAACTGTTCAGCAAGTGTGGTAGTTTTGAGCACACTAATAGCACTTTAATGAAGGTGCTAATTAACATAGAAACTGTT